GGGGGGGGGGGGGGGGGCAATGATAAAGAGACGAATTAAGAGAATTTATGGATAATCATGAAAAGGAATACGAGATTGTTTTTGATTGGTGGACGCGGCATGCGTGGATTTTTAATGGACCCATTGAATCTCGATTTGAAATTAACCTGGAAATCAATCTACTGGGGATTATTTTACAGACATACTCGGATTGTACGTCCGTTAATGAGCGTTAGAGTCTGGTGACGCAATACTCGTGAGCAAATCTCGTAGAACGTTTCGTCGGGGAGAGGAGGGGGAGGGGGGGGAGAGGGAATTTATTCCATGATAATGAAATTTTTTTTTTTTTTTTTTTAACGCGACCAGGATTTACCTGTGGTGATTAATGCATTGACTTTCAAGGATATTTTACAGAACGCTGGAAACTTCGTGAAATCAAAGTTTTACCAGGGGATCGTGGAAGGGATATATATATATATATATATATATATATATATATATATATATATAGAGAGTGCTTCTGGATAGAATTGTTGAAAAGTTAGGATTTGTCACAGCACTCGAAGGGAATCTTTCGTTCATACCGAGCGAATGATACTTTCACAGCATCCTCAACGATACTGATGTATGTATTAATTGATGGAGGCTATCGCGAGGTTTGACTCTTTCTTTTTCTTATTGTACTTTACATTTTTTACTTTCTTTTCATTCTTTTCTTTTTTCGGCAGGGAGAGCAGCGGACAGCAAAGCATTTGGGCACATGCAGCCAGACCCACATGCAATTGATCTCGACGTCATTCGTCCATGTAGGAACTCGAAAGAAGCTTTATATTTATGTATCCGTATAGCTATATATATATGCGAAGAGATAATATATAGATTTTTATGTATTTTTTTTTTTCCCAATTCCACTCCGTTTTCCATAACCAGCGGCTCCGGTTGTAGCACGAGTGACAGAACTACTATACCGTGATACGTAGACTGTAATTTATTGGTCGTCGCAACCGCGAAAATACGCGTGTAACAGCACTATCCTCATTCGCAACCTAACGAACTTGCTTTATCGACGATTGCAGATGAGCGTGGTTTTCAGGCCGGTGGCAATAGTTATCGGATATAAATGCAGAGCAAAGAGAAACGTAGGAGTAAGAATAATTAATGAGAAGTAGAAAGTCGTGGAATGAAAAAAAAAAAAAAGAAAGAAGGGTAATAAAAAAAAGAGAAAAGAAAACAGGAGCAAGATATTCGACTCACCGGATCAGGCGGGAGTCTGTAGTCCGTCGATATTTCGCTGCTCGCGCTTCTTTCCTCCGTCGACCTTTCCCAGTCCACCTCCTTCTTCAAGGACTGCAATCAAAGATTTACACGAGAGCTCGTTAAGCAGTCCTTCGAAACTTCACGGACAGAGTCCCTGCTGAGCTTGCACGGGAGAACTTTGGTAGAACCAAGCGATACTACCGTGCTAGGTGCATGTGAAGTAGATGAATGGGACTTACGAGAGGAACCTGCTGAACCGGGGGCAGCCCGGAAGGGCCTGCCAAGGGCTCCGTACTGTGCGGGGACGGAAGTCGACTCTGGGGCAGATTGAGCGGCAGGACCCCGGGGGCCCCGGTGTTGTTACTGAGACTCATGTCGCTGGGCCCGCTGTGAACCGAAATGGGACTCAGGGAGCCTCTGGTCTCTTCTAAGCTTGCTGCGTCCTCGGAGTCCCTCCTGGGTCTGTCGAGGGCCAGGGGTCCCGGACACGGGCTGCCGGGGCCCGTAGGCGACGGCGGACACTCGGTCATGTCCAGGGCTTCCACGGATTCACTGGGTGGCTGCTGAGGTGGTTGCTGAGGTTGCTCGCACTCCTTCACGGGTTCCCTGTCCCGTTCCTTGTCTCTGTCCCTGTCCCTGTCGCGCTCTCTGTGCTCCCTGTCCCTCTGACCCTCCGTAGCCAGGTGCTGCTCCTCCCTGGAGGCTGCGGCTGCATTGATGTTCGTCATGTCCGCGAGACCTTTGACCTTTAGGCTCTCCGCTGTCTTCAGCAGGGCGGAGAGCTGGCAGTACTCGACGTTCACCTCTCCCTTGTACATGAAGTCGACGAGGGTGCGCAGCTCGGAGAAGCGGACGTCCTTGAGGATGACTATGGGGTGGCGATTAGGGTGGTCGAGGAACAGGGCCTGGAAGTAGCTGGAGCACGCGGAGAGGACGACCTTGTGCGCGCGTATTGAGGGTCCCTCCGTGCACGCCAGCGTCACGTCCACCAGCGATTCCGACTCCAGTAGCTGACTGAACACACCCAGCAAGTTGCTCTGATGATTGTTCCACCTCAGGCAGTAATGCTCACTTCCCATGTCTGAACTGCCCGCAACCCTGCTGCAATGCAAAATTTACAGCCACGTTGATATATGGTGAAGTTAATTTTTATAGCTACTGTACTGTGAGCACGTGCATCCAAACCACGTGCTCTCATTGAAATCCGACCGATGCCTGTTTACGGCACTGACTTCGGATAACTCGTTCCTTACGCGGCAAGGTACTACTTATTGTTTGACCGACAGCCAACTCGAATCAAATTTTTAATCAACACACATAAGGTGCAGATTAATGTAAAATTACCTTTTTTTTTTAATTTCTAATATTTAACAAATTTTTTTTTATACCGTAACTCTTATTATTACATTTTTGTACTCATGAAATTTTTATTAATTATTAGGAAAATTTATTTCTTCTTTTTTTTTTTTCTTTATCCACCCATATTCCTGCAGACAGAGTGACTCCGTTACTCGGTTTCATATACCATACACAAACTGTTTTGTATATACTTGAAACTTACTCAACCCGATTTTAAATTATGGCAGCTGTGCACAAACCAAGGGTGCATCACCCGTTCTAGCATTAATATTTCCCATACAGTAAAACACAGTAGCAGGATGCAACTGCGAGTTTCAGAATCAGCCACCCCGTACCAACCACTGTCTAGAGTTATATCCAGTACGTCCTCAGTACCCGGAGGTATCAATTAGTACATATAATAATTCCGCTACTCCAGTTTCGTCATACAAACGTATCAATTAGTACACACAATAATCCGGATACTCCAGCTTCCCATCTTCACCCAGCCAAGCGCCAGCCCACCGTCAATTAAAACAACGCATAGTAACGCACAATCCCAGACGTCCTAAATTACCTTTGAATCAGACAACCAATTAAAATCCGCATGACCCAACATTCACGTCATCGCAAGTTATTCGAAAAGAAAAAAAAAATTTTCGAAATACAACCAAAAGCAACAGAATGCCCTTGCCAATTAAAAAGTGACGTAAAACAGCCGTTCCGCACAACGTGATTCCCGTTAAATGCTTCGAGCCGAGTAATTAGGTAATTAAAAAAAAAAAATATACATAAAATTTTCAAAATTATATATTCAAAAAAAAATAAAATTCTTGACAATTACACACGATTCCCCTTGGCCCATTAAAATCTACCGTGGTTCTCCTCGCTCGTTCCTCGAGTCGCAAGCGCCACGCAACACTTATCTCCGCGTTTTGCCTTTACATAATAAATTATTATCAGTCGCACCACCACAAAGACGCACCAGACTCTCGAGCACGCTGCAACTTATCTGACGCACACTTCGCCGCGAGACCAGCGTCCTGCCCTCTGCCGCGCCAGGCCTGTGATTATTGATCGTTATTGCGAGCACACGTGGAGCTCCATGACAGATAACAGCTGACGATACGAATTTATCTTTTATTATTCAGTCTCTCTTGTCACTCGTTCACGTTGCATCGTGTCGTGCGTGAGTACGTGCCACGTCAGGAACGTTGCGTGAGTAGGTACACGTACCCCGTGCATGAGTGATATAAAACGAGTTTATAGATTTATATGATACATATACATATATATATATATTGTATTTAATATATATATATATATATATATATATATACACATCATAAACTTTCAGACGAACAACACAGTGCATAATGCCGTGAGTCGTCGCTAATTGCACGATCGTTTCAACGATTTTGCACGCACCGACTGACGAACTTTCGTGCAGTAAACTTTGCAAAATAATATTTGCACTGGACGTCTACGGTGTAAAATGGACGATCGCGTCACGCTGTGTAAATAAAGTTTTTTTTTTTTTTTCGTTTTCACAATACTCCGAACTCGAGTCTCGCAAACGGGAGTTTTACGTGCAAACGCGTATAGGATGGAATTGGGGGTGAACTGACGGAATCCATTTTCGCGCAATTATTATTTCTACGAGAAGCGAAATTGATCGTGGTCGATGGTGGAAGGAACGAATTCGCGATGGATAGTTTGTAATGAAGCGACTGTCGAGTGTGTGTGTATATATATATAGAGCTATCTATAAAAACAGTCCTATACGCAGCCTGCGGCGTTTTCAATTGAAATGCGATAATATTAGCGACAGTCGCAGTTTCGAGAGACTGCAGGCTAGAGGTCCCAAGACATAGTAAATACCTATTTTGTGTTTCTAAGTGAGCCAGTCCGGGCGATTTCAGTCGCGACGATGAAAACGAGCCTTAAGGGGATCGTCGATCGAGGGAGTTGAGCTGCGAGGTAACATTGAGCTGCTGGGACGATTAAAGTAAATTGACGTCGGGACGCCAAGGAAGTCTTTCGAGACCAGACGCCGAGGCGTCTGCGTAACGTGTCTTGGCTCACCGTTTGTTTTCCCTTGACCACCGTATCCCCCACTCTCTTTTTTATTTTACTTCTGACAAGCCATTCGCAACGCTCGTGGTATTTCAAATCCTCGTATACGACAGATCGAGACAGAATTTTTCTTACACGGAAAACGGGAGAAATCCCGATTTCTCTCGTGTGCCACGTGGGCGCTGGACGGCGCAATTAAAATAATTAGTCGTTCGACGTGCCGAAAGAAAATTTTCAGTCGGCTGTGCCATTGTACCCTTGTCTCTTTCCGCCTCTGCCTCTTTCACGTTCCTCTCCTTTCTTCTGACTCATCCATCCGTGCCTGACTCTCGCCACGTGCTATTGACGTACACAGCGCGTACATCGATGACGTACGCCGACGAAGATTTTTCTCGATTGAAAAATCAAATTTCGATAATATCGATTAAGATTTTTTTTCTTTCATTTTGTAATTTTGCATACTTCAGACGATATCTCTCTGCTGACAATCATCGTCTTACCTACAAACGGCATATTTACTCCTGTTCGCGTTATCATTGCTGTCAGTCACTTTCTACGGGACAGTCTCAAAGCCCGTCCTTGACGCCTGCGCGCTTTTCAATCACGAGGTTAGAACAGTCGGATTGCGATAAGAGTGCTTTATCGCATTATACAATCGATGCCTGATGCTTCGTTAAAGGTTCGACTCGTACGTTAGTCACGTGCTAGTAAAAAGTTAATTTTCAAAATTTCCGTACAAAAGTCCAAAATTGACTATGACGATTTTTGAGGATTTCATGAAATTTTTTTTTTCAAAAAGTCCAGGGTGATTCAAAACTTGAAAAAAAAGAAAAGAAAAAATTATGCGAACAAGAGAGAATCCGTGAAGAGAAAGAAGAGAAAAATACGAGAGAAATAGGTGAGGAGAAAGAATCGCTACCTTAAAAAAAAAAAAAAAAAAAAAAAAAAAAAAAACTATTGCGTCAACGCAACGACGCAGACACTACGTCACAGGGACAAAGGCTAATTAGCGGAGCTCCGGGTTTGTTCGGTGGAAGCCGATGGTTTCTCCGTGCGGTAGGCAGGGTTCGTCATTCCCCTTTCGCGTATATAATAAGCAAGACGCTTATGTTTACGCGTTCAATAATTCCCTCTGGAAACACGGAAATTTCATGACGTTCGCCAACGCGGAATCTCGTTCGAGTTCCGCGCACGTGGGAGCGTTACGAAATACCCTCTTGGTGTTTATATACTCTTAGTATCTTTTTTCCACATTCTCTTTCTACTCCCATTTTTATTTCACCCTGTTCCCACCGCCTTTACCCGATCGCCCGCGTCTGACCGTTTCACGAAACCGTTCGTGGATCTTACTAAAAGCTAAAAATAGTACGTACGAATATCATTTAACCGAACGTCAACCCTTTACCCAACCTCAATCCTTAACTCCGTAATGGTATATTACACAACAGGCGGCAGTCCCAATAGCGAGCCATGACCTACCGCACGGCGTGGGCGCTCGGGTTATATATCACCACCACGCATATCTATATATCTTATCCATCGATCTGCTGCCAGCTCGTCACGGAACTTAGGAAGCCATCGAGAGTGCAAGAAGTCCACGAGGATAACCTAACCTACACGATCGTCATAGATAAGTCATAAAAATTGCATGAAAAAAAAACGGCAACACTGTCAGTCGTCTGATCGAAAAATCATAGAAAAAAAAATTTTTTTTAAAAAATCAAAAAGCGAATCCTCTTCAAGAAATACACATACCTACAGAGTCAAAAGTACCTGCATACAATTTTCACTTGGTACCGATTAAAGTTAGGGATTAAAAATTAATAATTAAAAGACAATTTTGAAAAAAAAATTTTTAACCAATTCATTGTCGACCAAAAATTTGGTCTCCTTGTAAGTCCGTATAACCCTTTACTAGGTGAACTCATTTTTTCCCTACACCCACCCTCCACCCTTTCGTCTCCCTGACTGCGTTACATAAGATGCACAGCACAAGCCGTTATTTGTGTCATTTCAGAGGTTTTCCTTGGGTCAATCCATTTATGAAGACGAGGCACGCATGTATTCTCTGCCTACAACAGCAGTCAGCTGAGAGCCTTCTTTGTCCCAGTCTTCGAGCAGCACTGGCGCGTCACAGCGATCCGTCTGACGTCTGACTGCACAGATGCGTACACGCAGGGTCTCTAAATCCGTCCGCGTGCACGTAGAGCGCGCCGTTAATTGACACGGGTTGGCTATGGAGGATTGAATATAGAGGCCAAGTCCAAGATAGGTTGAAGTTCGGTATACGCGTGGAGCGACGAAAGGACAATGCGGTGGACAGCGCCATCTGTGAGCGGTTCGCGTGAACTAGAATTCGGCCGATGTTAAACTTGATAAGAATTAACGAGCAAAGTAATTGGAGTGTCTCTTGGTGTATCCTACTGGCCAGCAGTGTAGCTGTAGCCTTTTAGTAGGTGTATATATATATATATATATATATATATATATATATATATATATATATATATATATATATATATATATATATATATATATATATATATATATATATATATATATATATATATATATATATATAGGTACGTGCATAGTAGGCGCACGATAAGAAGTTGCTGGACGATAACGAGGAAAAAGTCTTGCGATGAGAGCCATGACAAGACGGGAAAGTAACGAGCGGCAGTGGG